GAAATCTGCTGACTTTAGAGAGGCGCTGATGCATTTAGTCTGCTGAGAGTTATTCTTTGCGAATTGTTGATGGCGGTGATTCATCTCTGCTTGATAAATCAAAAAGGGAATATGTGATTTTGGGGAATACTGATGAAACAATAGCTGAGTATCGAAAATCGCCCAATTGTATTTAATCCTATCAGTGGGACATTAAATTCAGCCGTTTTTCAGTAAGCTGTTTTCTGATTTGAGATTTGTTTGAGATCAAATAAATGAAATCTATGACTCTACGGTTTCAACAGTTGATATTTGTGGAAGTTAGTCATAAGATTGTTCGTTCTATTGCTCGAAACAAGCGAAATGAAAATATAATAGCATCACTGTCTGTTGCTTAGGAAAAGCTCACATCAAAAATAACTATTTTTTGTACTTGCAATTAGTCAGATAGATCTTCATTTTCGATTGTTGTTGGTTTCATCGAAAACAGTGATACGCAGCAGATTGGTAGGGTTCGATTCTCGATTATGCGATAACTGATAGTGATGCATCGTTTCCAGTTATTATTCCCTCACTTTTCGTGCATCAAACTCGAACAGCAGCTGCTGTTGCTTTATCAAAAAAGTGCTGATGTGATGTGATGTGAAGTGGTTTATTCTTGACGAAGACAGTTTAGCAGTTTTTTGAAAATGCTGCGCTCTAGATGCACTTTTTCATTGCTCTCTGCAAAATAATTCAACTTTTCCTGCACACAATTCCAGTGGAACTCAACCGTCATCCACTAGCCTCATTCAGTCGAGAAATCACTTAGTAGAGCCATCGAACAATTTTCGATTGAAATGGAATCTTTAGGAGAAGTTTCAATTAGGGAATTACATGTGTGATTGCTTTGCTTTGTCACACGAAGAAGCACACACATTCCAAACCATTAACGAAACATCTACATTCGCTAAATAATTCTACTCAATGTCACTAATTACTGGTTCCACTAATTTATCGCCTATAACATTTGATACTCAATAGAGTCAGGTATCGATCACTATCATACTCATAATATGATCATGATTACTGACGAATGTTGTGCGAGCACAGAACAGAAAGAACGCAAAATTTTGCACAATACTCAAACAGTGACAATAAGTGCATAAATACAAAATCGCACCTAATCCTGCAATCAGTTGATATCACAGTTTACTGACAATTTTGCACAATTGGGCCGTAACATTTTGCTGAAAATCAACACATTTAACAATTTCATTAGTTGGGCGACTAAAACTTAAAGTTTGGCGAAATGAAGCAACTCGAAAGAATATTCTAGACATCATCGTGACGGTCTATCCGCATGAAAAGGAAGTACGTGAAGGAACCGAAGCCATATTCGATTGTCGGGCAAGAAGTGAGGACGGGAGTGTTTATCCTGAGGTACGATGGAGCCGAGCTGGTGGTCAGCTACCGTCGCATGCCCACGAAAGTGGTGGACGACTGACGATCAGTTCCGTGCAGACGTCCGATTCAGGCAGCTACTTATGTAGTGCCTCACATATGGGACAACTAAAACAAGCACAAGCACATCTACGTGTTCAGTCTTGTAAGTTTTTCACCACCAGCATTCCAAGCTGGAATGTTACAAAAAGAGTGCACAGTTCAATTAATTCGAACTAGCTTCATTGCAACCGTTTGCTTTAGATTTACGTTGTTTCCGAACTGCACGCTTCTATTCATTTGCAATGGTTAGTTCAATCGAAGAAAATTGAGAGACAATAGGCTGAGATTAGGTCAGATTGTCATTTCAGATGAAGATTTTTTGTAAATCACAATTGAATAGTTACTGTGATTAGTCAACCACCTGATTCTCAGTATTGATTTGAATGCAATACAGTACATTGAGATGGCTGACCAGTCCGACTCGTTAAACGTGTTTCTTTAGAGGTATTTGGATAAACTGATATTTTTAGAACTTAGTTGATAGTCGCCTTGCCATAAGAATATTATTTTTTGCCGTAGGACTATTATTCCACTTATCCGTTGCAATTCTCCCGTCTGAAATAATTTACGCGGCTATCGATCAAAAAACAACTGAAACGATCCAAGAAATTATTACACCATAAATCAGTGAAACTGATCTCCGATCAAGTTTTCCATTCCTATCCCGTTTTCTCATTCTTAATCGGCCGTTCTGAATGTCGAACGAACAATAAATTTGAGATTAGCAATTAAGAATGTCTTTAGCTATTAGTTTACACCAACGATAAGTCATCGATATGCACAACAATCGCACTGCAACCTTATTGCAAAACGGCGGTTTTCACCACTAACAGGCACAAAGTGTTCACTTTTATGCTTCCTTGAATTTCCGAGCACTCCATTTCTTTACAATTCACCGAAAGTTTTTATAACTGATGACGGGAGAGTGAATGGACATAGCAGCAAATTCGTACGCGCAATAGACGAACGACGGATTCAAGTTTTTGTTCGATTGTAATCAATGCCGTGCGATTTCTTCATTGACGGCGTTGCACTTGCGTTGACTTTTTCAAGTCGAGCGCTTTAGAATGGCCAAGTATGGCTTCAATGAAAAGTCTGATGCAAGGAACAAAAATGCTGGCTTGATCAAAAACGATCACAGCCATGTTTCTCATCGCAAGGATAGCATTCCAAATCATTTACAAGCTCCAAAAAATGGATTGATGCGAGTGAAGTGAAATAATTGGAGGATTTGAAATGAGCCAAACACGGTGCTTGAGCAATAACAGTTATAGTGATACCAGGCAATAGCTTTAAGAACTAGTGATAACGGTTGCGATAATAAGGTGCAATGATAATGCTATTGATGATGATATTTCGGATGGTAACTGCGAGACTATTGGTGTGTGGAATAGCCGTGGTTGATTATGAAGGATTTGTATTGAGGGCGCAGCGGAATGAGATGTTATTTTGATTGGATAAATATGAATTTTAGACGGAGCGCAAGATGTCCAAGGAGTTCTACAGACGTCGAGTCTGTGTCGAGCAGATGAACGAGCATGTGGTAACAACGAATGTGTTAAGGCTGATTACGTTTGTGACGGTGAACCAGACTGCAGAGATCGTAGTGATGAACTGGTGAGACACTTCAGATTCTGAAACGTTTCATTCGATACATTCATCGACAAAACAGTTTGGAGTCAGTGTTGCAATTGTGAGGAATGGGACGAAGTCCGCGGATAGCATACGAATTTGGTCCTTAAAAGAGCACCTTTCAATTGCAAAGTTCGAGAACACGGAATTTTTCCACTCTGTTTTTAGCAGATTCCAGTGATTTCGAATAGAACTGACAAGAACATGACAAAAATTACCTGGATTACCTGGATTGGCCAGACTATCAAACATATGACAAAAACAAATTGACAAAAGTGTTTGACAAAATAAACAAAATTCTAATCAATGGCAAAAAAATTGATCAGAAATTGGTTTTCATCTGTTTTCTTGCGAAATTGATCATACAGATGGAGTCGAGGAACTTAACATGTAAAGTTGCGGCAGGGCAGATGTTTTTGATTACGTCGTAAACAAGTTGCGTTCTTTGTTTCTCAACGATCCATCATGTTGTTTCGTCATTTTTGAAACGAACTGCTAACTGCTTCTCGTGAAAACGATTGCGTTTCATTGCAAATCAACCATATGTGAGCAATTCATCATCGTTAAACGTTATGAAATTGAACACTAATCTGGAACAGATGTGGTGAAATTTTATGAGGTGATCATTTGTATGAGAACGATTTCAGCGGATTTATGATTCTATGAGCATCCTTTATACTGTTCTTATCAATAATGATCTTGAACTGTCGTATCGGGTATCAAGTGATCATAGAGCCGAAACGAATTTAGAAACAAATGCATCAAATTCCACAAAACTGATCCATATTCATCTAGACGAGTGGTGCCCACGCTCAGTTGCTCCATTACCCCCTTCTAACGTCTGGCAGGCCGTCATTACCTCCTCCCTACCGCTACAATAATTTACTGTTTCCACGCATCACAGTCATAAAAACACCGATCCTCTCCATTACCCCGTGACACCCGCAAATTACCCAAAAAATGGGTAATTCTCCTATGGGAACTCCTGATCAGGACGTTTAAAAACAACTGAAATGTTATGGATCAGTCTCTTTATGCCTGATCAAGTTTATCACGTTAGTCGCCAACTAGTTTCAGAAAATACTTGTGAGCCAAACGCAAATGACGACTTGAATCGAGCAATATACTACCCTGTTACAATATGAATAACGAATAAACAAATATGATGAATGCATGAAGTACCAAAAAGGATTGCAAAATCACAGCAATTCACATGTCACTCTTTTAAAGGTTCTGCAAGGACAACATATCATAGATTGCTGTGATAACTGAGATCAGTTCGGAGCAGTGTGTGAATTGATTGGATTAAATGCTCTCATTTGCTGAAGGCAATCTGAGCTTTCGGAAAATTTCAGCTTTTGGGATTCATGATATAACATCGTGTAAAATTGTAGAATTGTCCATCGCTTCGTGCATGCGAACCGAACGAATTCAAGTGTAACAATGGACGTTGCGTGCAGAAGATGTGGCTGTGTGATGGAGACGACGATTGCGGTGATAACTCTGATGAGCAACAATGTCAGCATAAGAAAGCTTCAGACGGTTGTGGTCCCACCGAATTCCGATGCCGCGACGGTCAGCAGTGTGTGCTGTCCAGTTTCCAGTGTGATGGCACAAACGATTGTCGCGATGGATCCGATGAAGTCGGATGCGTACAACCGACCGTTGTTCAAGCACCCGAAACCAATAAGCAAGTTCAAGCGGGTGGTACGTTCCAGCTGACGTGTCGAGCGGTCGCCGTTCCTGAGCCGTACATCAACTGGCGTTTGAATTGGGGACCTGTTTGCGATCCACCCAGATGTTTACAGCATTCCGAAGGTGGTCTCGGTACACTCACCATCAACGACGCTCAGTGAGTTGTTGAAAGATTCTTTCAGAAAATTCATTCACATAGAAATGTCGATATTGAACGTATCGGGTATCAAGTGCTCATATACCCGCAGTGAATTTAGAACCAAATGCATCAAACTCCACAAATGTTATGTTATGCTGGCCAGAACAAATTCTCTGAAATGATTTGAAATTCTTTTGAGCATTTGAAATTCTTTAAGAAATTGAAATGTGATGATCTCTAAACGAGATGGATTGCACCAGTTTAAACCACTTTCCACTTCTGAAACAATTACAAATATGGCCACATCGAATCTGTTTATGTCTGGTGCTCAATCGCACTCGTTGTTGTTGGTCGCTGTTGAAAACGCTTGTGCAAATTTCAGACCACTTGATCAGGGTGCATACACTTGCGAGGCTATCAACGTGAAAGGTCGAGTTTTGGCCACACCAGACTGTATCGTTCGTATTGTCAGTATACCATCACCAACCTACGAGCCAAGACCACAACCGCAAGTTCACTGCGATCCAGCTGGTTCAATGAGTCAACAGGTCGGCTACGGTGGACAATGTCAATGCAAAGTTAGTTTTCCAACGGTTTCCATCCATTCAATTATGAGATATCGAAAAGTCTCATCTAAGCATTCATTGCTTTAGAAATATTTTGCGTTCAAACTACTTGTCGAATAAAACGGAAGTTGCACTGAAATTCTAACATTTGTACTGAAATGTTCATTTAGCCTCTGGCAACGGGTCCTTCATGTGGTCAATGCGTACCCGGATCATATCATCTAAACAATAAAGCACCACAAGGCTGTCTGAAATGTTTCTGCTTCGGTGTCACCGATCAGTGCAGATCATCATCATGGTATCGATCAAAGGTTCGATCTAAACAATTACTTCATTTTGCCACAGCCTCAATTAAGTGAAACCACTGTCTGCGTTGAAATTTTGCTTCTGTCTACTTGAAAACGTCTAGAAACTGAGCAAGTATTGACGATAGTAATATTTGCTAATGTATCGCCAAACGGCTACAATAACGATCGTGATGATGCAGTTGCAAATTTTATCGGAACTAGATATGCGACTGTAAATTACAGTAGTAATTGTGTTGCTAGCAATAATCACACACAGAATCGCGTCGCTGGAAAGATGAGAATTTTCACAGATAAAGCACGCAAATTCACCCAACGAAACAGAGGTTCTTGGCAAAAAAAGAGACTCTCAATCACTTGGTTACAGTCTTACGGATTCCATCTTGCCGAAATCTTGTTTTGTATAAACAGTAATGATCATATCACCAAAATAACAACTATGGTTTCAATCATGAATATAATATTCTGCTCTCAATTTGATCAACTCTC